CCCCAAAACCCCAAAACCCCAAAACCCCTGGGAGGTTTAGGATATTGAAGATAAAACGAGGGCTAAGAAGGTTGAGAATGGCTTAGAGCAGATAATGAGACGTTGTTTTTGGAGTAATTTGATTTTTCTCGTCCAAAAGTTGCTAGAAGGGTTAAATTAGAGGTTACAAAGCTCTTTTTGTGGTTGATCTTGGTATTCATACGTCTACTTTTTGTTTTATTACCAACAAAGAGGTATTCGCTGATTGGACTTGGAGAGTCACATTCTAGATGTGAGAATAAATGCTACCTCCCTTGTCCCTGGTAGAGAGCGGCTGTGAGAGATTTTCCACTACTACAGATCCTTGTGGCTTCCATCTGTAGATATTCTTATATACACTTACGTTCTTTCTGAATTAACACTACTAATCTGAGGCTGAATACCAATTTTGCCGTTAGAACTAGAACTTCTAATCGTATTTCTGGACTGAAGTACTTGGAGCCTTAGACTCGTAGAAGGGTTAATTTTATTTAGACCTCATCCTTCTTAGAGCTTTACTTATGCCTGGTGAATTGCCCTTGTTCTAAACTTTGAGTTGTAGGATAATACAAAGGTTGATTTTTCCATTGAGTTTATCTTTGCGACTGATTTTTTATAAATTTTGCTCTAAAGTGATGCATTCTTGTAGTTAAATACCCTAACTGAGTTTTGGGGAAGGAAAGACTGGTTGCTTTCAGTGTTTGAATGGAGAGTTAGAATCTTAACAGGAGCTAATTGTCAGTGCAAAACCAAACCAGTTTGAGTCTCTTTGTTGTTCTCTCATACTGTTGGCAATTTCTTGAAATTTGACTTGTGAAAACCAGGTTTAAGGTTCTAGAAATTAGAAGTGTTGTTACTAATTTCTTAGTGTTGTTCCGTTGCAATGAGGAATTTAGTATCTATGCACGATTAATAAATAATGATTATAACATACACTAGTTTGGCCGTTTTCAAGAGACTCTGTTTTATAATATTCGTTTTCATCTTCATTTCTAGTATGAAAAGGCTCAATTGCTATCTTAGCGTTTCTTCTCTTAATTTTAGTAGGATCAACAGCTATTATTATGTTAGGGTAAGAGATTACAGTGAAAAGAGGACTCTTCTGAAGTGACAGTCTCAAACGAATCGTGAGAACTCGAAGTGCGGGTGATATGGTGGCCCAAAGGTTTCGAATCCTGCCTATTATTGATCTTTGGGAGTCCAACAAATTTAGCTCTCTTGCTGTTCCCTTTCTTGAGTTTTAAACTAGGTGGCCTATTCTTTTTCAGAGGGTAGATTTCTCCCAGGTTATTTACTTATATTTGTAAATTCCTCTTGTAAAGTGACTGTTTGGGTTTATTCGGGAACTTTACATGGTTAGAGTCGAATAAATTTTCGTAGAACTTATTTATAACTGGCTTTATTTAAGGATTGAAATTTCTTCCATTTTCAGCTTGATTTCAATATTCCTCATAGTGTAGTAGAAGTCTTCCTCTTGGGTTTTAAGGTAATTGCTCATATTTATTGCTAAATTATTATAATTTTAAGGGGTTTTGGGGTTTTGGGGTTTTGGGGTTTTGGGG